TAATCAAATTATTTTAGATTTATCTCTAATTTTTTTAACATGTCAAAATCTAATACATTTATTCTCCTAACAATATCATTAAATGACATATGTTTTGTGTGACCAAATCATATACAACCGGATTTCCGCCCGACAATTGATTGAAGGTGTATTTTTGCCCGGCCACTAATGGACGTCAGACTATTGCCCGACTGCCGACTGACGCCGGACTTCTGATCGGTAGCCAACTGATATATCATCAAAAAATTATCTTGATCGAGCATGAATTTCGATGCAAAGTTAAATGGAAAAGTTTCAAAAATAAATTTGAAACCATTTGAACTATGATTTTGGCAAACTTATAGTCGAATTGAAAGTCTCGAAAAGATGAACCCAACGACATTAAATTCGATCAATTCGAGTCCCAATGGGTCCAAATCAAGGACCCGAAGCACATTTGAAAGGTTCAAACTATAAATTCGACAATCATTGACTTTCAAATGTGGAATGCTTATAGTCGAATCAAAAGGCTCAATGAGGTGAATCCAACGAGCACAAGAGCACCAAATTTTGATGTTAGTAAGAAACTCAAATCTTGTTAAATGGTCCTTGATCAAGGGAGTTAATATTAGTCGTCCAATAGAAATACTTCTAACTTGCCCTTAATCTTTTCAATATTTATTGGACATGTCACTCTCAAAAAATTATAAATAAACTCATCATTCTTCATTGAGAGAAGGACCAAGCAAGGAAGAGGATGAATGAAAGATGAGAGGAGAGGAAGAAAAATTTGATATCCCTCTTGCCACATTGCTCCTCCTCGACCACCACTTAGCAAAATGGCTATCGCATGACTTTCGTCGGACTTTTTCCCTGCCACCAACTGTCACCGAACTCTTTGTCCGGCCACTAACTGTCACCGGACTTTTGCAGGCCACCAACTATCACCAGACTTATGCTCAACCACCTATTATTGTTGTAGTTTTGCACGACCATCAACTAACACTGGATGTATCCTTTGCCACCGACTGTCGCCATACTTTTGCCTAACCACTAATTAACGTTAGATTTACGCCTAACCCTCGACTTTCGCAAGGCTTCTGCCAACTTTCGCCTGGTCACCAACTTTCGTCGGACTTACGCCATCGCCGACTATGGTCTCTTCGACCTCCGTCACTCGCCAACTATGGTCTCTTCAACTTCCATCTCCAGATTATAGTTTCCCCGACCGTCATCACTCGACAACAGTCTTTCTTACCTTCGTCGTCCGTCAACTATTGTCTTTTTTACAACCATCACCCAACTACGGTCCTTTCGACCATCATCACCCAACTACTGTCCTTTTGATTTACATTTAGAACTCCTTTGAGTGTGAGGGGGATGCAGCAATTTGAAAATGGAGGCGTCACTCGAACGCGAGTATGCGGGATAACGGAAGATGATTGAATAATCGTACATGTTCGACTTTGCTCCTTGACCGATGTTCCCTTCCAGTTAGATCGGAAGTTACAACATTTTGATTGGAAGCAATGACTAGAGTTCGCTCGCTGTGAAGGTAACTTTCTCCCTTTAGTGCGCTTTCTCGTTCGTTGAATCGCGGCTGGCTGGATTATGGGTCAAAATTGGGTTTCCGAGTTAACTCGAACCCAACCCGGAATTCAAAATGGGTTAAAAATCAGGACCCGAACCTGACCCGTTTCGGGTGCTAGTTGACCCGAGCCCAAAATTTCTGTGTCGTGTTCAAGTCGGGTTTTCGGGTCATGTTAAATTTTTACACCACTGCTTGCCGACAATGGTCTTACTGACCAAGCGAATATATCAACATTGGTTCTTCCTACTCTCACCATGTAATGCACTATATATGATGTATATTGGCTACATCGAGCCAAGGCTTTCTCTCAAGGAAGGGTCTCATTTGTAATCAATTACAAACATTAGTGAATTCATTCAATTTGGGCCAGACCCCGTTGCTTTTTCCTTTTCGAGGTTTTCCACATAAAAATCTTAGCGTCTCTTATGAACAAAACATCCATCACTTTTATTTGTATTTGTGATGGATCTTCGTACATAATTAAGACGTTTAACTTTATATTTCTCTACCACCGCGAATATTCTAGGACATTAGTTATTAATAGTTGTGACCCCATTAAAATCTATTTAACTACAACTAGCTAGTACTAGCAATGACAGTTTTTTTAAAAAAAATTTGTGACATTATATATAAGTAAATAAATAGTAGATATGAAATAACAAGTACAATAATTATGAAAAACCAAATGAAACCATCCTCAACATCTTTACTGTCCTTGCCCAAAAAAATCAATGTGCATTTAAAAAAAATAATGACTAAGATATTATTCTACTGCATATAAGTCTGGAAGGCTATAAAACTTCGATACTATGCGATATGATATCTTTATTGCTGGCGTTTATATCTGCTACAAATATGTGTATGTATTTTACAAATATATATCATGAGACAGTTTTTCTAAATATTTTAGAAGCAAATATGATAAATTTATTTTATATCAATGAAATATGATTCATATGAATAAAATTTATTTCACATAAAGTAAGGCCATTTATGACTGAAAGAAGTTATGCTATATATGGTATGGTATATTTCAAGATGTTTGAATTTAAGCATCAAATTATATGGTAAAATTATTCACAAATCATACAATATTTCTCTATGAATATGCACAATATATTGAATAGAAAAAGCATAACTATGACTTCTTTTCGGACGGCACCTTTTTAATAAAAATTTCTAGTTCAAGAAATCTATGTACTAAAAAGCTGTTTTAGAAAGCACTAAGAAAGTAACCCAAACGAAATCTTAAGTTATATATCATATTATTAGTTTTGTGTGGAATTTAATTTTGTTGATCAATTGGGTTATAATGTTAACTCAACGTCAATTCTGTAGGTCGAGCTTATCTGGGATTGCAGGGAGACAACGTTCCCCCTGCTTCAAATTCAGGGGCCTTGACTCTAAATTTTTAATTTTTTTTGTTCCATACTCACACTGCAGCATTGCGGCAAGAGCTAAGCAATTTTTCTACTCTCTTCTTCTTGTTTATTTGAAAGGTTATATCCTTTCAGGGGTAGCAATTGGTGGATCCCCGTTCCAAAAAAAAAGGAAATTTTTTTACTTTTCATTTGGGACAACTTTTTTAACGTTTTCTAAAATAAATTTTTATTACAAAATTTTCTAATTCATTAATTTACATATCAAAAACTGCTTTATATAGTAAAAAAACTGTCACAAACAAAGCTTTAGTTACTCAGTCGGTAAAAAACTTTTTTCCATCACATAAATTTTTGAAAAGAAATGAAACGGCAACAAGAAAATAACAGACAAATGAAATTATAATTGTTATCTGAACGACAAAGTGGCGAAAAAGCTGTTACAAACAAACCCTAAGAGGTGTATTGCTAAACAACGTAGAATGAGTTCAAATACAGCAACATAGCAGCAAGGAATTGGAATAACTTTACAGTTGAAAACTATAGTTAATTGCATGCATGACAACGGGCAGCACATGCATGATAACTTTTCCTTGACATGGGCATTCTCTTATTAGGCCAGCAACACATGGTTTTGGGCACGTGCAAATCTATTTAGTTTCAAATCATTATGACCATAATTGAATCAAATCTAGCAAACTACTAAATTTACAAACAAAAAAAATCATAACGGAATCATTCGGTTTGTTTATAATTTTTATTGATTCTGTTTCCATTTTGCAAACAATAAAAACTTTTGTTGGATTGATTTTGTATGTTTGGTGTTATGTGCGGAATCTTATTATGTTAGTCAATCGGGTTGTTCAATGATGTGTATCCGAGCGTCAGACGTTGTGTTCCCGAGCGCCTTAGAACCGGTAGATAGAGAGCACATCGCCACAATGTTTTGGATTTGGCGCCCCAACGCTCTGGATTCGGCACAACAACACTGCACCTTCGGCGCTGCAGCATTGCAAGGCGGACCGGACGGTTTTCTTTCTCATTTTTTCTGAAGGGTTAGGTCCATTGGGATTATTTAGTTAGCTTTCTCTTGTATTTTGAGATGTGTAGACATTGAGAACGATACATGTGAGAAGAAAAAAAAGAAGAGAGTGAGAGAGAATAGAGATATGTACTTATTTAATTCGAGACAGTGCTTGCTGGAAAAGGTATTTTAGGATGATGTCATGCAAATGAGGGAAGTTTGCAATGAGAGCAAGTTTAGATGAGATTCGAGGCATTTGAGGAGAACATGAGCAACATGCGAAGCTTGTTGAGAGGATTAATTATTCTGTGTGGATTTCGAACGCCCTCCTGTAACCAATCAGAATACGCCACATCACCCATGTGCTTGATACCACAACTTAGTACTGCTCCGGTACTGTGGCTCGGTACCGCTGATATGGGGGATTCTGATTGGTCTCCTGACAACATTCTGCATCCAGTCTCCGTACAAAAATAATTTCTCTATTGAGAGAGGCATCATAGGACCTGTGAAATGCTAAGGAAGTCATTGGAGATAAATAGATGGACTATGTATGTGGAGAAGGCAATGTTTTGGATAATAATTTTAATTAAAATATATAGAATTAATTTTCTACGAATATGATAAGACTAATTATGCTCGACATTAATAATTGAAATTATTTCTTTAAGAAAATAAATTAAATATATTTTTTTCAAGTGTACTTATTATGAGATTTATAAAATCATTTTTTTCTCATAGTGAAATAAAATTATTAAATCAACTTAAACGGTCCAACATTATATTATAATTTGAAATGAACCAAACTCAACGTTAACTTTTTTTTTTTAGTCGTTTTTAATTTTATTATTTTTTATCTCCTCCACGCATATTATAAAAAATTAAAAAGTCAAATACTAATTCTCCATAAGGGTGAGCTCTGTTGGAAGGTAAAAGAAAAAGAATGAACAGATACAAAAGGGCTTCAGTTTCTTCTAATTTTCTATTGCAAATACCTCTCTCTCTCTCTCTCTCGTGTATCGTTTCTTACTTTTTCTTGCAACTTTTGTCTCCCTCGTGCCCTCTCTCTCTCCCTTCTGCCCACTCTTCAAAATCCCGCTACTCTCTCTCTACCCCCGCTCCCATTGTGACCCGTGGAAGCCATTAATGCCGCCTACTACCTCCAAAGCAAGCAACCTTACCGGTATCCATACCACAGCCGTACTTAGTTAATCCTGCCACCAGAAAACCCTTTTGCACCTCTTCATCACTTGCTTGTTCTTCTCCACAACGGCCTTCCTCTTCACGAGCTAGCTAGTCCATGCCTCTCGTTCCTTCTTCATCTTCTTCAGCTTCTTCCTTGTTTAAGCAAAGTAGACATGGAAGGTAGAATGAGAAAGAATGGAGGCCAAGCGAGCTCTCCACCGCCAGCCCTAAAGCAGCAGAAACAGGGGAGAAAGATCCCCGTGGTGTATTATCTCTGCAGAAATCGACATCTCGAACACCCTCATTTCATCGAAGTTCCTCTTTCGTCTCCCGATGGTCTTTACCTCAGAGGTAATACAAAATAGAGTTTTTTGGCTCTTAGGCAAACCGTTGTGTTTTGTGGTGTCCTTATTTTGCAATTTGTCTTCTTCTCTTTTCAATGGTAGATGTTATAAGTCGGCTTAATGTGCTAAGAGGAAAGGGAATGCCCGCCATGTATTCCTGGTCTTGTAAGAGGTAGCAGAGTGACATCTCTACACTTTCAAAATTTCTCCTCTTCTCGGTACTGAAATGATTAATTAATTTGAATAATTGTTTAGGAGTTATAAGAATGGATTTGTGTGGCATGATCTCTCCGAGGATGATTTGATCCTCCCTACCAATGGCACCGAGTTTGTGCTTAAGGGTTCTGAGCTCTTCAATCAACCCTCCTCTGGTAATTCCCCTTTGATTATTTGCAAAAGGAGCTACTTTTCACTGTAGTTTTTTCCTAGCAGCTCTGACAAAATCTTGGTGTTTTTGAATTTGGATGCATTGAGTTTAGATAAGACACATCATGTTGGAACCATGGGAAAGCTACAAAATTCAAAAATTTCTCAATCCGAAACTCCAACTCCCACTTCTTCAAGAACTAATGAGACATCCTCCTCATCCTCTCCAACCGCCTTCAAGGAGTCAAAAACTCCATCACCTCCATCACCATCACCGCCGCCGTCTTCTCCTCCTCGAAGACTAGAAGATGAGCAATGTCCTTTAGCGCATCGGCTGGGTTCCCCTAGCAATATCTCCACTAAGACAGTGCCCCCTAGCTTAGCTGAATACAGGGTGTTCAAGTCGAGTAGTGCTGCTGATGCTTCAACCCAGACTGATGATGGATGGAGAAGAACTCGTGCGGTGCGAAATAATACTTGCACTAGGGGAGTTTCTACTGATGATAGCTCTATGGAATTTGAGTATGAACAAAGCAAGACGAATCAGATCACAGGGTCTATGGAAGGCTCTGAATTATGTAGGAATGAGATCTCTCCACCACTAAACTCATCAAGTGCTTCTTCCTCTGGTAGAAAGATGGAGACATTGGAGTCTTTAATTAGAGCAGATGCCAGTAAGATAAACAGCTTTCGAATACTTGAGGAGGAGGAGATTCTTTTGCCCACAGTGCCAAGATTGAAGGCAACTAATGTGCTTATTCAGCTTATCACATGTGGTTCTATCTCTGTGAAGGATCACCATAGCTTTGGTCTTGTTCCTACCTACAAGCCAAAGTTCTCTCATATGAAATTTCCCTCGCCAATATTAGCTAACTCAGTGATGCTTAGAGAGCTCGATTATTTGTCCGAGAATCCAAGGTTTATTGGATTAAGAATGGAAGATAAAGAGTATTTTAGTGGGAGCTTGCTTGAAACTAAGAAGCATAAGGAAGATATGCGAGAAGGTTTGCCCACTCTCAAAAGGTCCTCCTCCTTTAATGCTGACAGGTAATTCCGGCTTTAAATGTTTGCTTATATATACATAATTTAGCTTTCTAGCAAGTAACAAATTTGAACTAAGCTGGAATTTGAAGACTGCTTACGTTACACTGCACCATTTTTCATTTCAGGATAATCTATCAAGAATTTTAATACTTCCATTGTTGCATCTATGTTGTCTTCCCTTACACTGTAAAAACTTCTTGAATTGTCTAAAAATATGTCATTTAAGATCTTCATTTTGATTATTTTCGTGTTTTTTAATTTATTTTTCAACTTCAAAATAATATTGCTTGGTCATGAGGCTGAGAAATTTCTTCTCCTTTCAATGCTTATATTCCCTTGCCATGGGATCTTAATTACAAAGAGAAGTTCTTCTGCATTTGCAAAAAAAAATCGTAACGGTTGAATCCTATAGAACAATGCTAAGACATTGTACATTACACAGGAGCAATAAATCACCATATTCCAAAAGGGAGAAAGAAAGATTTGTCGATTCATCTCGTTCGAAATGCCTTCCCCGACCAACTAAGATTTCATCTAACAAGCCATCGAGGAATGAGATAATGAAATCAGCCATGTCAGATTGCCCAAGAAACTCTTCAGCTGGTCCTGACTGTAGCCAGTCATCTATTGATGGAAGCAAGAGGATCACTGATATTTCTTCAGTTAAAGAAGATAATGAAAAGACAATCAAAATTGAAGAAAGTTAAGTAAAATCTCCTTCATATTTGTTCTTAATTTAGTGATTTTGGTTATAAATCTCTCTCTCTATTTCTCTGTTTTTTGATAGAGAATTGCCTGTTGTGTATTCCTGCAGGCTTATTTCTGGAGCTCGGGTTATAATTCAATCAAGAGCTCTGTGTGATGATAGTGATGATAGCTCAAGTTCTGAGGAGAGAAGAACATAGATGTTTTCCTTTTTTTTTACCTTCTTTTTATCAGATTTATGTAGTTTTATCTTCTGCAATCGTCAGGTTTTCTCTTGTATGTCTGAAGTAGAGAATTCAACGGTAAGTTCTCCAGAAGTTTTACCTATGCTACTTAAGAAATTTTTGTGCCATGGATATCTCTGGTTCTGAAACTTTGTGCAGCCAACAATATCTGCACCTTGAAATATAGACTTCCAAAAAACATTGAGTGTGTGTGCATCTGTGCATGCTCTGCATCATAATCTACCTCTTATGATGTTGGCTCAACACATTAAAAAATACACAAACATATCACTCTAAACATATGAAAAATTATTAGGTGTGGGCACTGGATAGAGAAAATCATTTGGATTTTTCTCTATCTACGGTAAAAGTGCAGTCAAATTGTAGTTGCTATAGTAACTACACTTTTACTGTAGATAGAGAGAAATCAGGATGATTCTTTCTGTCCAGTGTTCGCACGTGATAATTTACCCAAACATATGATCAAGTGAGAGATTATTACATGCGGAGTCCGAGTCATTCGGATTTATGAGGGCGTACAGTAAATAACTAAATATATATATATTTTTTTAAAAATATATATTTACTATGTATTTATTATGTGAAATCCTCAAGTAGGGGTGTCAAATTTTGACACGACCTGAACCCGATCCGGAAAAATCTGAATTTGGGTCAACCCGAAACCGAATCGGGTTCGGGTTCAACAAATCAATCAGTTTTAAAAATCGAGTCGAGTTCGGGTTGACCCAGCAACCCGAAATTGATCCGAAAGTGACACGAAAACTCGTATTTGACCCGAAAATCCGAGATTGACCCTTTTTTGACCCGAAAATCCAAGATTGACCTGATTTTTGATCCGAAAACTAGTAATTTTGGGTCAACCCCGGGTCATTCTTGTAGGGTCGGGTTGACTCGGACCCGAATCGGGTCGGGTTCCGATCCGGAAACCTTACCCGTTTTTTAAAACGGGTCCGGTTCGAGTTGACCCGAATAATGCCGGGTCAGTTTCGGGTTCGACCCGAACCCTACCCGTTGACTCGAATTGACACCCCTATCCTCAAGGTAGAGTGAAATCATCAATCATTGTTGGAATTTAGACATGCATAAATATAAATATATACATATTATAAATTTATTATCATTAAACTATATTTTTATACTCATAATTATTAAAAATAATATTTTATTCAGGGGTGGGACAAGCTCCATTTTATAGAGTGGGCAAAATTTTAGTTATTAAATAATAATAGTGGTGTTTCTAGAGAAAAAAAAAATCTATAAAATTAGTAAGACTACATCAACAAACTATGTAATAGTGTGAAAAGTTGGGGAGTTTTTATTTTAAATAATTAGTCATTTCATTTCAAGTTGAGAGTTAAGTTGCGTTTTTTTTTATAATAATTGGCCAAAATGATAAATTGAGGGTGCCCAAACTCAAAAAAATTATCGTTTTTTTTTTTTTTAAAAATTGAACTGTGGGCATTTGCCCACTCTGGAGCTAATGTTAGATTGGTCGGGAATTAGGAGAGAAAGGGCCTTAGGGTTTGAGTTGAGAGGTGAAAAAGTTTTGAAGATGAAGGGTTAAGATTTATTCGTTCACCCACCGGGCTTAGCTTGCTTGGTGAACTAGCACGGTTGGAAACCCCCCAACTCATATTCGAATCCCCTTTCAAGCGGCTCGCCTCCTCTAAGGGGAGTAGCAAAGTGTGGGCCTAACACCCGTGGGTTGGCTCCACTAGATCTCGCCGAGGTATTAGTTATGCCGCAATGCATCTCCTATGAGGATGGCAGCAGGTAGATACCCCCGTTCTAAAAAAAAAAAGATTTACTCGTTCCTCCCCTAAAATATCAAGCAAGTGGATTGAGTCAAAAATTGGCTTTAACAAAAAATCATAAAAAAAGACGACAAGTGGCATCTCCATCAAATTTTATAGAAGAAATATATATTTTTTTGAATAATTTAATTTTCTCATAATTAAATCAAATCAATCCTCATCATCATCACAAGGAATAGCATGTGAGTTGCTCATGCATATGACAATGATAGCCAAGAAAATATTACTCTTCTCAAGTCATTACATCATGCAAAAAGGTCCTTTTGTACACCAATCTTAAGACTTGGTAGATTATGGTTAATTTTCTTTGCTTCAAATAATTGTCCAGCTCCAACAACAACCGCAGGTCAGATATATGAAAATTTTGCATAAAAAAATCGTTCCAAACGAAGCCTAAATAAATTAATAATTTTAATAGGCCCAAATTGGGTCGAATATTTGAAGATCAAGTCTTCTTTATAAGTACATTCAAATATGATCATGTTATACTTAAATGAGACTATTGATTAGGCTGAGTTAATTGGATCAATAGGTCCCAAATCCCCAAAATTTTAGCTTGAGGCTAATCAACTCTTCTATATTAAAATTTTATAATGAGAATTAAATATATCGATATAAATAAACCAATACATTTGCATACATGAAATGTTAAAATTCAAATTTCATAAATAAGCTTATCATTTTAAAACTAAAGCTTCATTTTGTATAGCTTTCTACTTATTAAAGCGGCTTTTTAGTACTAATATTAAAAATTTTGTACTAAAAAAACTGCTTTAGGAAGCAGTAAAAAGCCACACCAAACATTAAAAGCGTACTACTTTTCTTATTATACTGCAACTATAATTTATATTTTACCTAAAATTTGCTTTTTTGTTCCTTTAAAAAAAAAAATTATACTAGGAAGCTACTTTCTATAACAGTTTTAAAATTTTCTTTTTTCTATATTAAATTTACAAAGTAGTAAGAAAGTTGTCTCAAAAAATGATGATGAGATGAATGAATGAAAATTCAAAAAATTAATGTATAAAAGTACTTATTCTAATGTCAAAGTGAATAATGATATACTTCTTCAAGAATGAAGACTATTGCATAAGGCTCTTTCCTAAATACAAGAGGATGTAATATTATAAGCTACATAGCTTAATTTCTATGCTACCAAAATAAGGAGAAAATATGTCCCTTTCCTATTTAATTGGCAAAGCTTCTTGAAGAAGCACATGCATTTGTAAGACTAATCTTCATGTGGACCCTTTCTTTTTTATTGAAAAGTCTATCTTTTGCTGAAATTTTCTTTAACTAATTATTAGTTTCTACATTGAGAGGATTAGAAAGCTATCTTGAAGAAAAACTTTTTGTTAAATTTATTACATTTTAATGCAAAGTGATTAAGCATTAAAAAAAGTTAAAGCTTGAGCTTTTTTTGTGACTTTGTTTGATAAATTGAGCATTCATTGAATTATTGCAATATTTTTGTAAAATTTTAAGAAATAAAGTAAAATTTTAAAAGAAAAAAGATAAATTTTTGATATAATTTTAATATCATGCAAAATTATAATTATAACAAATTTAGACAAATTAGACGCATTGATTTTTTCGGACACCTCAATTTTCTTTCTTTATTCATTCGAATAACTCAGCTGATTTTGTTGAAAATCCACCGCAAAATACTAAATGTCTAAGATTTTATGCATATGAAATTTTATTATTTAGTATAAAGATAATGCCAAACTCTAAACACTTATATATTCTCTTACTCTTTTTATCAAAATGTTTGGACCAAAATGGTCCACAACTAAACCATGTGACCAAAAGTTTGTAAAGATTTGACACTATAGAGCTAGCCTTCACTTATTAGTAATAAGAAAAGCACATTAGCTTTTATATGATTTGACATGAACAATAATTAATCTAACCATAGAGCAACTCAACCTATAAAAGTGTTTTGAAAGGTTAAAAATATTATTTTTAGAGAAAAAATAATATTGATTAGTTAGAGCTAGTCTAAACACCATTATTTGAGTCATTATAATTGCATGTCACATCAAAATAGCCATTTTTTGAATTTTATTCACTCTAAAAAATAAAAATAGCCATTCTTGTCATAAGAATGTTGGTCCATGCACTAATATATTAATTTGCATGGGGAAAAGGTATGCAAATATAGATCAAAAGATTTATTTTTAATGTTTTTTCAATAATTTTACTTTTTGAAAAATTTTATTATTAAATTTTTAATTTTAAAAAATGAGTGATTTAGAGCATTTTAATAGTTCATACAATTACTATGAAGCTTCATTATGTTAATTCAAGTAAAATAGCATATTATCTCAAAGCACAATATTATTATTTGTGATAAAAAAAAAAATTAGTGGATATTATGGTTTGCAACAATAGTTAATTGGGGGTTAATTATGCTTAATTATGTCTATATTTATAAGGGTGTCATCAATTTGACAGAGATGTGAGTCGAAATCTTGGTTCAAGTAAACCTGATTAATAAATGGATTTCGTTTTGGTCTGGAATTTCGACCCTTAATTAACAGGTCTAATTCGGGTTGGCCCACAAACCTAAATTTGACCCAAAAGTAATTTGTTTATTTTTATTTTCTAAAATTATTTTGCTTGTTAAGATGTGCTTCTTATTTTTTTATCAATCAACCTAAAATTTATAGTTGATAAGTTATTAAAAATATTTTTTAATTAAACAAATTGTCGAGTCAAGTTCAAATCATTTGGGTTAAAAGCGGGTTGAGTTTTAGCCAACAGAATCAAATTCAGATCAATTACGGGCCATGCCCGAACATGTTCAAATTATTTTAAGGCATACTTATCATTAAAAATATTTCATGATTTATCACTTTTTTATGCTCAATGTGCACTTATAATGTTGCAATTAGGTCACCCCAATCATTCAATATATTCTAAATTATTGGAATAAAATTTATGAAAATCAAAATAATTATATTTAACTCTTCAAATAAAATTTATGAAAATCAAAATAATTATATTTAACTCTTCTTATACGGATATATGCCACAAAAATAAGTCTTCTTATATATAAAGCCATATAAATAAATAAATAAAACAAATCCATAGGCATAAAATTATTATTTATACCAAAACATTATTTTTTCTTTAGTTTAAAACCTCTATAAATAAAAATTATTTTTGAAGTAAAAGGCCTTTTTTATTTATATAATTAAATAAAGTCTCTAAAAGAGAATTAGCTGCCAACCAATCAGACTAGATTTATCTTAGCTTTTTAACTAGCATATTAAAGTTTCATTTGGTGTAATTTTCTTATTGATTTTTAAAATTATTTTATAGTTAAAAAACATTTTAAACTAAAGTTTTTTAATAAAAAATTACTTTAAAAAATAGTAAGAAAGTTGTCTCAAATGGAGCCTAAGGCCTCATTTGGGACTGATTTCTTACTGCTTCTTAAACCAATTTTTAAATACAAATTTTTTAATTTTTGTACTAAAATTTTGCTCTAAGAAGCATTAAGTACCAAACGAAGTAAGATAAGCAAGAAAGCTATTAATTATTCATTGTGCATATTCATTTAGAGTATTAATTGTATTTTATTTTATTTTATTTATCGTCGGTATATATGTAAAGAAACTTTTATAAATTATTTTACTAATAAAATCACTTGTATTTTTTTATATTTATTAGTATATTGTTCAAAGTTTATTTTTATAGGCATAGTAACCTAATAAATTCCCTCTAAGTAATATGCCATTAATTAATTATTTTTACTATTTTTTAATCTTAGGTAATAACTAACTATAGACTTATATTGACCTATTTTAGGCATAGGCATGCAAAGTCAATTGAATTGATTGATCTGACTAATAAATATTTGGGTTGGAAAGAATTTAAATTTTACATTCAATAAAAATTAATATGTTGGTGTAATAAACAAATTTATGCTTAAAATTCTGAATTCTAAAATAGATTAGAAAAAATTTTCTTCCCATCCATCAAACATTAGGCTTTAATTAAAATTTTATAAAAAGCACCCTAATCATTAACACATATTACATTCTATTATTATAGAATTTAAGCGCAAATTATGCTGGAGATATATTTTATTACAAATATAAGTAAAAATTTCATAAAATAATAATAATTTTTTCCTTTTGATAAATAAAGCAACTAGGTTTTCTCTTATGTCAATATAATAATGAGTTTTAATGAATCTTAATATGTTTAAAATTTTAAAATAAAATTTGATAATAAGATTTAATTTTATAATAAATCTTAATAATGCTATTAAACTAGAAAAATTAAATACATATAATCCAATTTTTTAAAAATTGGTGTTTAATTTTTTTTATTTATAATAATATCATCTAAAAATTGAGGAGGATAAAATTTCAACTTTTATTTTCAATGATTTAGGTTTAGTTTGGGACAACTTTTCTTATTATTTCTTAAAGTAAATTTTTAATATAAAATTTTAAATTTTATACTAAAAATTGTTTTAAGAAGCAACAAAAAATCATTTCAAATAAAAGTTTAATCATATAAATATAGAGATGTTAAAAAAATAGTCATTAATTTTATAAGAAAACAAATTAATGAATGTGCAAAAAACTCCTAAAATTTCTAACATAAAAAAATACTAATTGGTATTAATTGCAAATTTAATTATATTTGCAAACCAGAGTTTTATACAAATATCCTTAAAAAAACCCCAATTCTGAAGATAATCCTAGCTTCTCATAATTGATAATACCGTAGAAATTCTTCGACTTAAAAGGACACCTTGTTTTCCGAATCCAGCTCAGGCGATCCTTTCCTGCTCCTCCGACCACCGGCGTTCATAACCACCGGCGGAATTTCAAATCCCTGCATCGCCGGCGGCGGGTGTCTCCACTCCGGCAACGGCCCGGCGAGCATCAGCGTCTGAAGCAGCGGTCCAGCCCTCATCACCGCCTCCAAAAGTCGCCCCTTTTCCGGTAATCCACGTTTCCTGGCCGCCGCATCCATCTCCTCCTCTGCCACCGCTGCTGCCGCCGCCGCAGGGGAACTCTCGTCCTCGGAGGAAGACGAGGCCGGCGCAGGGCGGTGGCGGTGGTCGAGGAGGAGGAGGAGGGTGTGGGCGTGGAGGCGAGCCTCGTCGCGTTCGCGGGAGGCGAGGTCGAGGAGATGGGAGAGGTGGTGAGCGTGGGCTTCGAGGCGGCGGAGCTCTTCATGGGCTATGAAGCGGGTGGATTCGAGCTCGAGTGTGGTGCGGAGGAGGGCTTGACGGAGTTCTTCGGCAGAGTGGGAATCGTCGCCGGAGGCAAGCGGCTGTGAGCAGAAGGAAGGCCATGAGGTGGGAGATGTGGGCAGCGGAGGATGGTGGTCCATTTGGTCCGATTGTGGAGTGGGAGAAGAGCAGGAGTCGTTGTCGCGTTCTTAAAAAGAAGGGGGTTCTCTATCGCTGATTCATCGGTTGGGAGTCGCGTTACTTACCGGTGAGCTAATTACTAAAGCTTCTTTGGTCACCGTTGTAAACAAAGGCTCTAACAATTAGCGTGAATTGTCTCCATTATTATTATTATCATTATTATATTAAGTAAGTTAAAAAATAATTGGAGATAATTATAAGTATTATTCTTCTTAAAGAGGGAGCGGATTCAATAATGTATAATATATGGGCTAATGATAACAATTAATTCTAAATTAAGAGAGATCGAATAAATGATATAGGATTCATCTGAGACGGCTTTCTTACTGCTTCTTAAAGTATTTTTCAAGTACCAAAAATTAGTACAAAAAATTAAATTTTTTGTATTAGAAAATTGCTTTAAGAAACAATAAGAAAATCATCCCAAACAAAGCCTTAGTGTCAATAAGTAAGACGAGACAATGATGCTAGTCTTTTTTAAAAAATAGAATGAGTAGCCTATAGTCAATAAGCGGTAAGAATTCATTTAGAATGCTCTAATCTATAACAAAGACGGTTAATATAATGACCTAAAGCTAGATGATTATTGAAGAAACTTGAATTGTCCTCATAAATGAAGGGTGGGGGTTGAAAGATAACTCTTGATTAGGGATTTAAACATTTTTAGTGTTTATATAGTTAATTTTTAAAAAAATAAGGTAAATTGGGCTCTATTTATAAATTTCTAAGGTTATATTTGAATATTTATCTAATGTTACACTAGAATATTTTTTTCATACTTATAAACAATAAATTTACTAAAGCAAGTCCCGCATTAAATAGTAAGCGCCTAACGATTCTCTCCACGGGTGAACTTGATTAACATGCTTGAGTTTAGCCTAAGGCTCCATTTGGGACAACTTTCTTATTGCTTTGTTTTGTTAATGTACCTGGACAGGTCAGATTAGTTTCTTAACTGGTCATAATATATTTCTTGATTCTTGTCTTTGTATCTCTATAGCTGTTAGATATATATAGCTCACGGGTCCTGTATCTCTGAAATCAACATCAATTCTATCTTTTTTGTCTTCTCTGTGCTTTCTTTCTTCTAGCTCGTTATGTTATCATCTCGGCTTCGCTCGAAGAGTTCGTCGTTCCCACCCCTATCAAGCTCCTTATCTCCAATCTCAAGAACCTTGTCCCCACTACCCTCACCAACGAGAACTACTCCATATGGCGACTTCAAATGTACCAGCATTTCGCCGCAAATGGATTCAGCGGCCATCTCACAAGTATCACTACCTGCCCTCTCGCCTCGTCCACCACCGATCACAAGCTCTGGAAACTCATTGACCGGAATCTCATCTCCGTGATTCTTTCCACCATCTCTGCCTCGGTGATTCCCTACGTCATCACGCTCACTACCGCGCACTAGATCTGGACAACTCTCAAAACTCGACTGCAACCCACAAACCGTTCTCGAGTGATCCAACTCAAGAACGAACTTCACCAAGTTCAGATGAAAGATCGCTCCATGCAACAGTATCTAGCTCAAATCAAGAACCTCGTCGACAACATAACAGCCGCGGGATCAACAATGGACACCGAAGACATAATTTTATACATCTTGAATGGTCTTCTGTCAAACTACAATTCCTTCAAGACTTTCATTCGAACATCCTTGAACCCCATTTCTTTGGACATCCTTTACTCGTTGCTTTGCAACGAAGAAATAAACATTCAACAAGAACAGTCCAGAGAAATCAAACTCCCATAAAAAAAACATGACACTTCTCTCTATTCGACACAAACCAACCAGAGGACGGTTCAACTGATCTCAACAACGCAATTAAAGTTCTCATCCCAATCCAAACAATGATAATCAAATTCAAAGAAATCACCCGCCTCAATCCCGTCCTTTATTCCAGATATGAGGCAAAACCGGTCTTATTGCGCTGAATTGCTGGCATAGGTGCAATCTTCAGTACGCACCATCCTCTTCGACAACCTCCAGAGCATTATTTTCTCAACTGCAAGCCACGCAGTCTACCACCGACTGGATTCTTGACTCCGGTGCCACAACACATTTGACGTCGGACGCCTCCAACATGAGCAATGTCGCTCCCTACAGCGGCCTCGATTCGATTTCAGTGGCTAACAGTAGCAACATTCCTATATAGAACACCTGACAAGAAATTCTCCCTCTCCCGGACTCGGCTCGTAAGCTACATCTTCGTCACATTCTACATGTTCCCTCTATTTCCCATAATCTTTTATCAATTTCTAAACTAACGACTGACAACAACATCTCGATTCTATTTGATGCTAATGGTTTTGTGATTAAGGACACTCAAGATAATCAATCGCTTCTTCGTGGTCGCAAACATGATGGATTATATCAGCTCAAAACGACTCCAGCACGCAAAGTTTAGGCTCTTCAAGCTCAGCGTGCCAAACACCTTCTCTGGCATGCTCGAATGGGTCACCCGAACTCAAGAACGCTCTTCTCCCTCGCCACCTTCATCCCTGAACTTTGCAATTTCTCCAATAATTCTGACATTTGTATTTCTTGCAAAGTTTCTAAAAGTCATAGATTATCGTTTTCTATTAGCTATTATGTGTGTACCAACCCTTTCAAAATCATCCATTCGGATGTTTGGGGCCCCGCCCCTACCCCATCGCTCAATGGGTACATATACTATGTTATATTCATAGACGACTTTACGCATTGTTCATGGCTGTATTTGATGACTACGAAAGCTGAAACCTTCTCTAAATTTAAAAATTTCCATAATCTCATCAACAATAACTTTCACAGCAGCATTCAAACTTTGTGCTCCGACGGCGGCGGCGAGTTCACCAGCAACCAATTTAACAACTATCTTCTCGAAAAAGGCATAAATCATCAGCTCAGTTGTCCTCACACTCCCGAGACAAACGGAATATCTAAAAGGAAACACCGGCACTTGCTTGAAATCACAAGAACTCTTCTGCACGCCGCCTGTCTACCTCATGCGTTTTGGGCTGAATCTCTATCTACAGCACACTACCTAATCAATCGCTTACCAACTAAAGACACCACACCTCACATCCCTCACTATAAACTCCACGGAAACCATCCCTCCTACACACATCTTCGCATATTTGGATGTCTTTGCTTCTCTTTGCTTAAGCCATATGCCCCATACAAGCTCTCTTCACGATATCAAGAATGTGTCTTTTTAGGCTACTCCACAAGTTACAAAGGCTATAGATATCTCGATCTTTAGACCAATCGTGTGCATATCTCTCACCATGTCACTTTCCATGAAAACATATTTCCCTTCAAGAGCCGCACCCAAATTAAACAGCCACCTACACCTGACTCGACATATTCATCACTTCTCCTCATTCCTGCCTCTGCTACCTCAAACAAATCTGTTCAAATTTCTCATAACAACCAGCCCAGCACTAATAACACCACATCTGCTCCCAGACCGATCCCGTCACCCACTGTCTCCGACACATCACCTCCATCTACTTCTAGGTCTTCTTAACCTCCTCCGGCTCGATTACATCAAATGTAGACACGGTTCATGTCCGGCATCTCCAAACCAAGAAAGATCCTTGATCTAGTAGCTGTGTATAAACCCGACTCTACTCCTACCTCTTTTGCTCAAGCCAAAAAACACAAACAATGGCGATCCGCCATGTCCACTGAATACACGACACTTCAGAAATAAGCCACTTGGTCTCTTGTTCCCCCTCATCCCACCAAACTTGTTCTTGGGTGCAAGTGGACATTCAAAATTAAAAGACATCCCAACGGAAACATAGCCCAATACAAGGCTCGTCTCGTGGCACAAGGTTGCACTCAAGAGTTTGGAGTCAATTACACAGACAATTTTAGTCCGGTGGCAAAAATGACAACAATTCGTGTCATGATCACGCTAGCTCTCCACAAGAACTGGCCTATTCTCCATCTCGACGTTTTGAATGCCTTCCTGCACGGAGATCTTCAAGAGGATGTCTACATGCGACAACCACCCGGCTTCATCGATCCACAATACCCTGAACATGTGTGTAAGCTTCACAAATCCATATATGGACTCAAACAATCCTCGCGACAATGGTTTAACAAAATTACCATATTCTTGCAAACATTCGGTTTCAGCTTCAGCAAAGCTAACCTCTCTATGCTTATTTACACAAAAGACAATATTCAGTTATTTGTTTTGATCTATGTTGACGACATCCTTGTCACGGGCAATAGCAAGCCCCCAATTGAAGCTCTTTTACATCAGCTACACTCTAACTTTAGCCTCAAACAACTAGGAGATGTCTATCTTCTTTTAGGAATACAGGTTTCAAGCACATCGAGCGGATACTTCCTACATCAACAACATTATGCTCAGTAAATTATCCACCCAGCCGGATTTACAAACAACAAACCCGTTATTACTCCGATGTCCATCAAACACTCGGCAAAGAACTCCAACACGACCCCATTCTCTGATCTGCACCTATACAGAAAACTACCAGGTTCGCTTCAATACTTATCCATCACTCGACCCGACATTTCATTCACTACTAACTACATCTGTCAACACATGCATCAACCTACGATCGATGACTTCCAAGTTCTCAAAAGGCTGCTTCGGTATATACAAGGCACAACTCACCTCGGCATTCCAATCAAACATGGCTAACTGCAACTTCGTGCCTTCGCGGATGCCGTCTGGACCTCAGACAATACAGACATAAGGTCCATCTCAGGATTCTGCACATTTTTAGGAGCCACCATCATCTCTTGGTCTGCAAAGAAGAAAATAATGGTAGCAAAATCATCTATAGAGTCTGAATATTGATCCATTTCTTCAGCCACTTCCGAAGTCCTTTGGCTTCACAGGCTCTCGCCATCTCTTGGTCTGCAAAGAAGAAAATAATGGTAGCAAAATCATCTATAGAGTCTGAATATTGATCCATTTCTTCAGCCACTTCCGAAGTCCTTTGGCTTCACAGGCTCTCGCCGAACTCAACATCCCTCAAAATGGACCAACTATCATATACTGCGAAAACACCTTTGCCATTGCTATTGCAAATAATCCGGCCTTTCATGCTCGGACAAAGCACATAGAAATAGACTATCATTTCATCAGCAGCCACATTAAAGCCAGCGACCTCAACATCTCACACATCAGCTTGGCAGACCAGATTGCAGACGTCCTAACAAAACCCCTC